ACTCTTTGGTCTTTTCCATTGATTTCATAATGCTAATTTTGTAATAAAATAATGCATTAAGAACCATCCCTCAGCCTCATCCCATTTCTGAACTTCATCCTATCTTTAGTGTCACCCCAAATCTCATATCTGTCTAACCTGTGACTTACATCATCTTGCTCCATTACCGAGCTTGGAAGGAGCAGCTAGCTGATATATCAAATGGCCCATCAGATTGGCCCAGTGAAAACATCACAAGTGACCAGTCATTTTATCCTTTGGGTCTCAAGTTTTTTCTTCTGCAAAATGAGGACATGCAGTGAGTAATCTAAAGTATCTTCCAGTTTTATCATTTCTTAAGAATGTATGTGTAACTTATCTATGTATTTTTTATCAGCACTAGAATAGTGAAAATGTAGCTAAATATCCACAAGATGGCACTCTAAGTCCAATTCTATAGAGATGTGGCTTTTTTCTTTTTAATTCTCCTAGTTTTGCTGGCAGAAATTACAAAACATAAAGAACAATGGAAATACTTTGAGGAAAAGTTCAGGAGGACAAGTATCACCCAGAGACCAGGCTTAGCTCTCCCCAATCTCCAAGCATTTACTATATTTCTCCAACGGCATGTGAATTGCATGGCCACAAGTCATAGCAGCCTGAGTGTTAACGTATTTTCAAAACAACAATCAGAAAGCCATACTTCTCTGGTTTGGATCTCCACTACCAATGTGGGAAGTTCAGTCAGCTGCCCACTACTGTACCCCACAAGCCATTTCTGAGATCCCTGGGGCGTGTGTCAACCAAATCTGTTAGCCCGTTCATTTCTGTACCTGTCGGCTATGATAGAAATGCTAGGGCCAGTCTTTTAATTCATGTTTTATTCATTCATGGAACAAATAACTAGTGAGTGCTTACTATCTGCCTGACTCCACACTAGACACTGAGTACACAGCCAGGAACAATACTACATACACAGAAATATGTCTATGCCCAGATTGTCTCTGGAAGTAATCACAGCAAACTCATAACAGGGATTGGCTGCAAATGGAGTGGACCATAATGGCATTGGGTGGAAAGGAGACTTATCTTGTCCTGTGTTCAGTTTCATACTCTTTAACATTTATCTTATGCATGGATAAGCATGCACATGATAAATATGGATAGCCAGTTTAAATTGGTCAGTGAGGATGAACATTTTCAGAATTAGCTCAATGGATGTATGTCTTCTACTAGAAATGACTGTCTTCCAAGTGTTCACGAAGTGTTCATTCATTACAGCAGGTGGCGGTACTGTACATGACTTGATTTTGGAGGCTCTGGAGAAATGTGGAAGGATGGTAGTTAAACACATTCTGAAAAGAGCTGGAAACTGAGGCTCTGTGCCTTGGGACTTCTGTCATAAACAGAATAGTTTGTTCATGCTTGAAACAGTGTAAATGTACTACTTGGTTCTTAGAATTTTAAACTGAAAGGGACCTTAGTGATCATTTAGTCCAATATCCTTGCTTTATTCTCAAAGAAGATAAGGGAATTAGCCTATTATCTAGCAGGTGCTGTGTAGCAAAGCCAGGCAGAACCCAGACTGCCTGAATGTTTTGTCATAAGGAGATGGTATGACTGATGAAGACAATCAGTTTATCATTCTTGCTTTTAAGTTTGAGAGTCAGTCTGATGTTTAAAATGTAGGCTTGGACCACATCCGTGTTTTCAAACTGACACAAATTCAAGCATTGCCTAGGGCTCTTTTTAAAAATACAGATTCTAAAGTCTCTCCCTTCGAGATTCTTATTCATAAAATCTGGAGTGGAGCTCAAATTTTGTATTTTTTAACAAGAGATCTTCAATGGTTCTTATTATCTGGAAAATGTCAGATGATTTTTTAAAAACACTCCAAACCCTTAAATTCTATGATAATTTTCTTCTTTTGCGATTGTTCTCATTAAACATTGTCCTTCCTCTACATCAGTGATTTGCATCAGAATCACGAGTCCATGTTATTTCCCATCTCTAACTAAATATCACTGGCTGATGAATAGCATCTGTTTGTCAATACCATTGCTAAGCAGGGGGTTTCCCATTTGCCCCTTCATATCCACTCTCCACTGTTATCCACCTGATCTCTGCTGTTGGAGGTAAACTTTATTGACCACTTCAATGGGCTCCTTTGCCTTCTGACTTTCAATTGGGTTTATCCAATGGGAGGATTCAACAGAAGAGTAGAGAATGGGAGAAGAACAACATTAGGGGTATTTTTATCCTGACCTCTACTCCTTCCTAATTACCCATGGAATCACTATGAGTTAGCTGTGTCTCTCTATTGAAAGCTATGGCCATCTCAGAGGGTCCTCTTATAGTTAAAGTAGACCTTTGGGGTACCTTCAGGCCGAGGGTTGGTAATATTGTTACTGAAGTACCTTTCAGATACTCCTTAACCTTTCCCAAGCCTTTGTAAATAATCCCTTTGTTCTTTGTTAAAACTTCCTCAATTACTCTTGAGTATGCATCTCTGCTGCCAGGACTTGGACACAGACAATGATTTATCTTTATCTCTTTCATATGTGCTGTTTACAAAATAAAGGTTTTCTTGTTCTTTATTAGAAATAAGATCACCAGGCTGGCATGGCTCAGTGGTTGAGCGACGACCCGTGAACCAGGAGGTGATGGTTTGATTCCAGGTCAGGGAGCTCGATCCCCAGTAGGGGGCATGCAGGAGGCACCCGATCAATGATTCTCTCTCATCATTGATGTTTCTATCTCTCTCTCTTTCTCTCCTCTCTTCTCTCTGAAATCAATAAATAAGAGAAATGATAGAATTTAGGAGGAAAAAGAAAAGAATTCTAGAATTCAAATGGGCTTTAGCATATATATTCTAGCTTACCACTAAATGCTAGAATCCTACATGAAATAGGTCTGCTTCGTCCTGTTCATTATAACTTTTCAAATATTTACTGGGAATTATCATTTTCTCCTCTAGGTTAAATATTATCAGTCCCTTCAATCGTTTTTCATGTAATATGGTTTCTAGATCCTTCTCCATCCTGGCCATTGAAGATGTTCCATTGGGTGCATTCTGTTTGTCAGTGCTATTGCTTCAGAAACATTTGCAAAGTAAGCCAAATGTGGACAGAGTCTCACAGCTGAAGAACCCAGACCTCCCTAACTGAGAGGCATACTGGGATGAACAAATACAGACCAAAGGCTCTGCTATCAAGCGGAGCTTCTGACTGAACCCAGATGTGTGGGCGGAGGCAGGAGTCCCTGCTGAAGGGGACATACACATTACCACCACATTCCTCGCAAGTCATGGTTCCACTTTAGAATTTATACCTTACTTTTTCTTTCGTACTTTACTTTCCATGAAGGAGGGAACAGTAATGGAATTCTAGTCAGGCCAAGAGCTAAAATAAGAAATAGGAGCACTTTAAATTCCCATGGTCTGGAATTCCTCAGTTTCCTTAACCCCGACCAATCCAGATGTGTTTTGTAGGCACCTAGTTTTCTGGCCCGAAGGTAACTAGGTCATTTGTGTGAAATAGTTAGCATAGAGTCTGCAGCAAAAGCCTCCCATTTCCTTGTTCAGACTCTGAGGACCTCAAAGTCACAGAATGTATTGCTGCCATGCACCTTAGGTTATCAAATTTAGGCGAATTGGAAGATCCAGAGGGTAGAATCTTTGTCCAAAATTACAGAGCAATTTACTGGTAGAGCCATGATTAGAACCCAACTTTCTTTCCTCTCTATCATTCTGTCTCTCTTTTCAGTTAATTTACTCCATTCTTTTACCAGATTACAAAACCGAAATGAGGAAATTAATACAAGTACCTAAAGCCTTCAAGTCCGACAGAGGCAGCATTTGAATTGCACAATTGCCTTGGAAATATTGGGGAAAGACAGCTATGTGCACATTATATTTGACACAACTTCAGGGGTGAAGCAAACCGTCATTTTATTTTGAGAGCTCAACTACCTAGCCTTTGCATCTGAGTCTAAACTTTAAAGACTATAAATGTGGACAAAAAGGGGCCTAACTTATGGAAGGCTTACATGGCAGCCTTGCAAACCACAAAGGATGGTCTGAAATTAAAACAATTTTAATTAAGAAGCAGTCTATGGTGGGTAGTCATGTCCTAGGTCAGTATCTTCTCTGACAAAGATCAACTTTGATCTTAACTGAGTCTATTGTCTTTTTGCATCTATGATAACATACCTTTGGAATGTCAGGGTAACTTGTAACTTCCCTTTTTCCGGATCCCTCAGGGCACAACCAGTGGTCAGGGCACCAGGGCAGAGACCACAAATTCCCTCACTGTTATTGTTGTGTTAATTGTTGACTGTCAACTATCCTGTACCCACTTATGTAAAAGAAGCATGTGTCTATCATTTTATTTTTTACCCAACCCCAGAGGTTTCCCTGCTTTGCTTTCTCCCACTTCCCTAATCTATCACCTGTGGATTTCATTTAACCCACTTACATCTCCTCCTTTGATAGTAATTTATAAAATTAGGTGGAAAAACTGCCATTCTCTGGAGCATTAACTCAATACATTGAGATTCTGCTTCCCGGTAATTGTCGACAGTTTGGGTCAAATAAACTCACAAAAATTCTTTACAGGTTTGAATGTTTCTTACATTAACGTGAATCTTTTCAATCAACTGAATCAAGGCACTGAAAATTAGGCTCCCGTAGTTAGTCCTGACTTTAAATCTCCAGTCTCCCACCAACTTAGAGCTGTATAATTTAAAACTGCAGAGGACTTCAGGGACAGCCTGGTTCAAAGAAACTTAGACCCAGAAAGGATGTGTTTTACAAACTTACAAAGAAGAATAAGAATTTGACTCTTAATCCTATGGTCTTTTGCATGCACTCTGGTTATTTCCTGTATGACTGTGCCTTCTGTGTTTAATTTTCTTTAGAACGGAGCACCAGATATTTCGTTGGAGCATTTAATAAACTTCATCACAAGAGTCAAAGTAAATATTTTCTTTATTAAATGAGAAGGGGAGGTGAGTGACATAAATGTTATTTTAGAAGCCTATTACTTACTAATCATAAAGAATGCCTAGCAAAAATAGATTTGAAGGACGTAACAAACAAATATTTAGAGAAATATTTATGACTTCGCACAGCTGATAGGAAAATGTAGTCAGGTTTGAAATGCCCTAACAAAAGTTGATGTTTCCCCACTATTCTGAGCTAAACTGTACTCTATGAGAGAGTCTGACACTAGAACTCTTAGTAGCAACTTATAGGAAATGACTGCGTAGGAAAAAGGAACCACTTCTGAACAAGACTGCATTTCAAGACTCAATAGGGAAAAAGAAATCAAAGTTATAGCAGATGCTGTTGAGAGTGCCTCAGATGATCCCAAACTGAGCGAGCTCATGCAACTCCAGGTGGCTGAATGCCTCCCAAGGGCAAATCACTGTAATATCTGCAAGAGAGGGAAGAAGAATTTATAAGTCAGCCTCACCCCCAGGAGAGACTTTTCTGCTCAAAAAGACATCCTTCAGGCAGAAGATACCTCCTCCTCTCTCCTATTCATTGTCCAGGTGACTGGGAAGTTATCTAAAATGGCCCTGAGACCCAGAGGATCAGACCAATTGCTTAATTAATCCTTTGAAGGCTCCTATGGCCCCAGAACACACTCCTCCAGATATCTTTGTTGGCTCTATTCTGCATCTTCTTTTGGGCAGGTGACCCAAGGCTTTTGACTGGGGCTACCCTGTAGGGGTACATCTCACTGATCACCCAGGACCTCCCCAAAGCACAACCACTAAGGAGGGACCAGAAGTAGAATTCTAGTCAGGTCAAGAGTTAAAATGAGAAATAAGAGCGCTTTAAACCCCCATGGTCTGGAAACCCATAGCCTCCTGACTCCCTACCAATCCAGGTGGGTTCCTTGGGCTTCTCTGACTTGTTCCTCAGCTCCTTTACATTTTGAAATGCCTACATCCAACTCATATTGAGAAGTGATTTCAAGGGATCCTCTAATCCAGTCCCTTGAATCCAGAAATAAATTATTAATGTCCCCAGGTCACAGAGAAGCTGGTGGATACCCAGAAAGAGTAAACATCTAGCAAAAAATTGCACAGTTGCAGAAATGGGACTAGAACCAAATCAAAGGCTACAAACCTTCTTCTAGTGTAAACCTCTTTCTATTATTCCAAATATGTTAGCAGAGTTCAACATATCTTCCAGAGTGGATTTACTAGTCTTAAATATATCTGGTCAAAATATAGAAGCAGTTGATTTAGGAAAATAACACATGAGCTCTATAAAGTGGCTATAAAATTTATTTGAGATTCCAGAAGTGACATTTGATTGCAAAAAGCAAATACACTGAGAATTGCCTGGTAAGGACACTCATTGCTATGAATGCCAGCATTTATCAAAAGTGTATTGGAGATCTAGATGGTTTGATTCAGTGGATAGAGCATCAGCCTGCAGACTGAAGGTTCCCAGGTTTGCTTCTGGTCAAGGGCATATGCCCTTGTAGGCTCAATCCCCAGTGGGGGGCATGCAGGAAACAGCCAATTGATGTTTCATCATTGATGTTTCTCTCTCTCTCCCTCCCCCTTCCTCTCTGAAATCTCTCTCTCTCTCTCTCTCTCTCTCTCTCTCACTGTGTGTGTGTGTGTGTATATATATATATATATACACACACACACACACACACACAGTAGAAGCCCGGTGCACAAAGTTAGTTCATGGGGGAGGCGAGCATGTCCCTCAGCCTGGCCTGGACCCTCTCACAATCCGGGACCACTGGCTCCTAACCACTTGCCAGCCTGCCTGCCTGATTGCCCCGAACCGCTTCTGCCTTCAGCCTGATCGCCCCCTAACCGCTCCCTTGCTGGCCTGATTGACGCCTAACTGCTCCCCTGATGCCCACAACTACCCTCCCCTGCCACGGCCTGCCTTCTCAACCGGGACCGGCCTCCTCTGTGTTGCGTGGAGCTGCGGGACCCCCCAGGCCTTACCACGCGGAGCAGCCACTGGGCCCCACCTCCACTGTGCACAGAGCCATCTTGTGGTGGCCATCTTGTGACAATGCCGTGCACAAGGACCACCTAGGCTTTTATTAGTATAGATTTTTTTTTTAAACAGTGTATTGGATGAACCCAGGTGAGTGTAGCTCAGTGGGTTGGAGCATCATCTTGTGTACCAAAAGCTTACAGGTTCCCAGTCAGGGCACATATCCAGGTTATGGGTTCAATTCCTGATCTGGGCTTGTATAGGAGGCAACCAGCAACCCATTGATGTTTCTCTCTCACATTGATATTCTCTCTCTCTCTCTCTCACACATTCTCTCTCAAATCAATAAAAAACAACAACAACAACAACAAAAAAAAAAAAACATGTCCTCCAATGAGGATTAAACAAAAAGTGTATTGGATGAGTTGAAAATTCATGTCTACACAAATACCTGCACAAGGATGTCTATAGCTGCTTTATTTATAATTGTCAAATCTTGGAAGCAACCAGGATGTCTTTCAATAGGATAAATAAACTGTGATACAACCATGCAGTGAAATATTATTCAGTGATAAAAAGAAGTGTGCTATCAGCCATGTAAAGACATGGAGGAACCTTAAGTGAAAGAATACTTCTAACTGCAAGAAGTCTGGAAAAGCTACATACTGTATGTCTAACTATATGACAATCTGGAAAAGGCAAACCTATGAAGACAGTAAAAAGATTATTGGTTGTTAGGCGTATATGGAGGGTGGGGATAAACAGAGCACAGGGGATTTGGGGGACAGTGAAACTCTTCTGTATGAACCTGTAATGTTACATATGTGGCATTGCGCATTTTTCAAAGCCTAAAGAACTGGACAACAACACAGAGACTGAATCCTAATGTAAGCTATGGACTTTAGTTAATAATAATGTGTCGCTATTGATTCGTCAATTGTAACAAATGCAAGTCATTAATAATAAGAAAAACTATGTACAGGGGAGGAGGGGAGCAGAGGGTGTGTATAGGAACTCTGTACGTTCTACTTAAATTTCCTGTAAATCTCAAACTGCTCTAAAAAATAAAGCCTATTACTTTTTTTAAAAAAAAATAGGCAGTAATTTGCATTCATTATTCAATGAATAAAAATGCTAGGCAATGAAAAAAAAAATTGCATTGGATACTTTCAGTGTGTGGGGCCCTGTTCTGGGTGCCAGAGAATGTGTGAAAAGAGGAAGCAGTTGAGGGAGTGGTTGGCCTGCTAGAGTAGAAATGCTCTCCGGGCCCCACCCTTGTTTCCAATACCTCACTTGTGGCCTCTGATTGTCACTTAATTCTGCTGTGTCTCAGCTTTCTCTTCCGAAAAATAAAGAAGCTGGTCTAGACTAACTGAGAATCTTTGTAACAAGTCTGCAATTCACCATTACAGTCTCTCAATCATTGTTGAACAAGACAAGAGAATTCATTAAACAAACATGGGGCCTAACCTGATTTCTTTCAGAGTGTTTGCCTCTTGGTACACACATTCTAACTAGTACTTGGGAGATCAAAAATAAAACCCCACATTTTTCGGTCTTCAAAGGAACTGCTGCCTTAGGTTTTTCTGGTAACTTTCAACTGGCCTGAAGCAGATAAAAAGATGAAACTTCAAGTGTAATGTTCTCACTTTAGTCTCTGAATGGCTCACCTGTTCCCAGCCCTTCCATGCCTGGAATATCATCTCCAAACCTATGGAAAAAATAAAAATTAGCTGAGATCAGAACAAAAGGGTCCTGGAATGACTCATGTGGAAAGTTTCCTGACTCAAGGGGGGAAGAAGAGGCTTAAGCTTTTATATTTGAAAAACTTCTTATGTTTGCATTGAATTAAGGTAAAGAAAATAACACTCCGGCAGGTTTTAAACAGTGTATCCCATGGAGAGATATTTTCCCCAGGGTAAAAAATTAACCTGAAACAATCAAGGGCCAGGAAGAATGATCAGTGGGACAATTTTAGCCAAGCCTCACTTCTAAAAATAGAAATTGGAATGAAAAAAAAGCAATATGAAAGGAATTAAACTGATTAATTTATTCATTTGTTTAGTTACCCAAAAGTATCGTATTAGGCATCTTCTATGTGCCAGACACTGTGTTAGGCTCAAGGAGGAGAGAAAAAAATAAATAATTTTCTCTGAGTGAGCTCTGTCTCAAGAAACAAATGAAAACAAATAAATGTAATACAAAATAGTAAACGTTATGATAGCTGAATGTACAAAAGGCAAACAAGGAATTAATAATAACTTTTGTCTAAGAGAGTCAGTAACAGCTTCAAAAAGAAATTAACTTATGAGTGTGTGTTGAAAAATAAGACATTGCCAAGGAGAGAAAGAGAAAAACAAAGAACTTAAGACATAAGATTGAAGCCATAAAAATAAAGTGTGATTTCTGGAAATGGCCAGTGGTTCTGTAACCCTGATGAAAGCATGGGGCATACTGGTGAAAGGGAGTGGTCAAGAAGAAAAGCCAGGGAGGTCAAGTCAAAGGTCATTGTGAATGGCTCCATTTGCCGTGTTATATTTGGCCTTAGACCTGAGAGCTGAGAGAGAAAGTATTCCAGGGCTAAAAGCATGATTCAGCAAAGATTGTGGCAGAGAGGAAAACAGAAGATGGGGTGGAAATTTTTGTAAGTTTGCTTAATATGGTGAGCATTAAATCTCAAAAGTAGATGTGGCACATATACACCATGGACTACTACTCAGCCATAAGAAAAGATGAGATCCTGCCATTTGAGACAACACGGATTGACCTTGAGGATATTATGCAAAGTGAAATAAGTTTGGAAGAAAAAGCTAAGAACCATATGATTTCACTCATAAAACTGAAACTCGTGGACACAGACATCAGTGTGGTGGTTGCCAAGGGAAGGGGTGGGAGGATGGGAGGAAAAGAGGGCCTCATATAGGGTGACGGGAGAAGATTTGACTTGGGTGGTGAGCACACAGTGCAATATACTTGAGACCTATATGATCCTGTTATCCAGTCACCCAATAAATTTAATTTAAAAAACAACAACAACAAAGCAGTCTTATGGGAGAAAAGAAACAATAGGAAGTCTTCTTTTTCATCCTTGTCTTACCCTTTCACACCTTTCTTCGGAGGCTTGCTCTTGAATTGGCGAGTCTGCCTCTGCTTGAATTTGGGGGGCCCTTTGCGTGGGGTGGTGGGACCCTGGTTTGAAGCTGGAGGAACCAAAGCAGTATTGTCACTCATTCTTATGGTCCTTTGGTGGCCGATGTTTCTTCTTCAGGCCCCTTAAACTGTGAGAGAAGAAAAGACCCTTCAAGGTATGAGGACAGTTGCTTAGTAGACCTTTGCTGTAAACTGGGAAAGAAAAAGCACCGTGATAAAGAAGCTTAAGTATTTTGTGTTGGCTCAATAGGGGAGAAGTTACCATCTTTTAAAGATATTTTAAATAAATCACAGTATAAATTGATGGAGACACTCAATATAGTGGAATACAAATTGACAACCAATAGATTTCAAGAATCTAGGTAGATATGTTGTTCTAGTACATCTGCCACTAGCTTTCCATGTGATTTATTAGAATGGCCTACTGCCCCTCTGTGATCACCAGTCTCATTATATGTAAAGGGAGGAGAATGGACTAAATGATATCTACAGTCTTTACAGCCCTGACATATTATCATATTATTTAAGCTTTACACATTTTTCCACCCAGCTGCAAAATAATCAGACTCTAAATGTTTGCTGACCCATTGTTATGGCCTTTGTTCTTTATAGTCTTTACTTTATTTAATCCTCACGTGATCTAGAGACTTCTCTCCTAGTTCAGAGCTGGCGGGGAGGGAGCAGTGATGGTGTGGAAATGTAATTGTCTGGACAGGTGTGGCTCTGAATCAGGGTTACCAACGCCCATGAAAGTATGCAATACATCCCAACACACACACACACACACACACACACATACAAAAATCGATGCAGAGTGATTAAGTAGTAAGTTTGTGATTTAACTTCATATCCAGACATGAGGTTCTTCAGCTACACATTTCTCAAAAATTTTTGGCATTTTTTCCTATCCAAATCATGGGCCTATCTAATATGGTTTTCCCAGACTTTCATTTTAGCTGTAGAAATGTGCATTGTCACTCTTCAAGTACAAATCAAAGAACATGATTAACAAAGGTATGTTTAACACGATGGAATACTATGCTGCTGTTAAAAAGAAAGAACTCTTACCATTTGCAACAGCATGGATGGAACTGGAGAGCATTATGCTAAGTGAAACAAGCCAGTCAATGAAGGAAAAATACCACATGATCTCACTCTTTCATGGATAATTAAGACCATTACAAACTTTTGAACAATAATAAATACAGTGGCAGAGCTGCCTCAAACTGATTGTCGGACTGCAGTGGGAAGGCCAGGGAGGGTTGGGGGACAGGAGGGAGGGGAGTAAGAGATCAACCGAAGGACTTGTATGCATCCATATAACCATAACTAATGGACATAAGACACTGGGGGGTAAGGGAGGGCAGGGGCTTGTCAAGGGCGGGGGGGGGGGGAGGACACTTATGTAATACCCTTTGTAATACTTTTAGCGAAAAATAAAAAAAAAAGAAACCAAAAAAAAAAAAACAAAAAAAAAAACAAAGGTATGTTTAAAAAACAAATGTGCTAAGCTAAAGAATTTTTTCTTTTCCATCAAAAAAGTTGATAATATTTACCTTAGGAAGGAAGATTGTGAAAAGCTCCAAAGAACTCCCAAATAGTCTTAATCCCTCACTTTGAGCCAACCCCTTTCATAATCCACTACCTGGAAGCTTTGTTTTCGTTGAATTCTCTGTTTCACCCATTATAGATTTATGCTAATATCCTTAGCTTCAATTCTCCTGGACAATCTTTGGCTTGTGCTAGCCTTTTATTTCTCTTTCTACCACACTGCACATCCCTCAAATATTATGTTGTATAACTTCATCAACTTTTTCTTATTACTTTCAAAATCATTTTAAATCCTTTCCACCAAGATATTTTTTCCTCATTTTTTTCCAACTTACTACTTTCACCCTGTCCTGCCAATTTTCAAGTTGTTCAAAGAAACACACTGACTAATTTGTGAGCTGGAACCAGGGATGGTGAACCTGGCCAGACCCCTGGATGACCTACTCATGCCAAGGATTTTGTCTTAATCCCCCTTTGGAATATGGGCTGCTTTTCCAGTTTTTGTTGATTTCTGTGATCCCAGAACCTGCAACAGTACCTGGCCTTTATTAGGTATGCCATGTATATTTGTCAAATGAGTAAATAAACAAATGAAGAAATTGGACTAAAACCCTGAATGTGAGAGTCTGACCCTGTGACCTTCTGCATCAAACCATAGAGAAGGCATCAGCGGATCTTCACTTTACAAAGCCCCCAGTGGCTTAGGAAGTGCCCTGCCAGCTCCTCTGCTCACTGAATCCCATTCTTGTGCTGTGGGCGCTCTCCTGCCCCAGTAAACAGGCAATGTCGGTGCCTCTCCGAAGTGTGGTTCAGGCCATGGGAATCACCAGTGGCATCAGAGTGTGGCACCAGCAACTGGCACGTCCCAGTTCTGCCAAAGCCATGGAGATAAACTAGAGAATTTCTCGCAGACCAGGCTTTTATGACTTCCCAATTCTTTCACAATAGTCAGAAACCACAAACTTTCCTTTCTCTCATCTGGGGAATCTACTAAAATTAGGATTGTCAGGTTTAGCAAGTGAAAATATGGGGCACTCAGTTAAATTTAAATTTCAGATAAACAACAAACAATTTTTGGGTATAACTATGTACTATTAAATATTTGGGATATGCTTATACTTAAAATGTTTATCTGAAATTCAAATTTAACTGGGAATCTCCTATTTCATCTGACAATGCTAACTAGGATCCTACTATGTTAGATGTAGAGCCTGTAATGTGAGGGCCTAAGATAAATCAAATTAGTCAAATTAACCTTTGGGGCAATACAGTGTAAAGAGTAGGTGCTTTAGAATCAAATAAACATAGCTTCAAATTCCTGCTCTACAAAACTGAGCTTTAGTCTATCTTGTAAAATGAATTAAATAATACCTTCTTTTTCGGGTCATAGAGAAAATTAAATGAGATAACGTAAATGGAGTATTTGGTGAAAAGTACCCAAAAAAGAGTAACTAGATACTAGACCTTCTGGGAGTCGAGGAAGCCGTGCAAACAAATCTATGGTTGCGACACAGGTTCAGCTTCTCTTGGGCCACAGGCTGAAGAGCCCTGGTCATGCACCCAAGAGGCGATTGTCATCTGCTCTTACTGAGCGATCCTCTGTGGCCCTCAAATGCCCCAACTATTAACTTATTCCTGGTTTGTCTTAGAAGAAATTCTGCCCTCCTTGGATACTTTTGAGCCCCCTAACATTAATGCCAAAGAATTTTAAAACTGCACTAGACTTCTATTTTCCCCTGATTACACTTATTTTTTCTTCTAAGTTTCTTTTGCATGTTTATATAATTTTGAAGTTGCAACTCTATGCTTGGACAGAGTTCATGTCTAACTCAAAGTGTGAGGCATTATATAAGGAACTAGAGGCCTGGAGTACAAATTCATGCATGGGTGAGGTCCCTGGGCCTGGCCTGCGATCAGGGCCTATTAGGGCCCTCTTGCCCAGGCCCAATCAGGGCCCGGCCAATCCGGACAGGGCAGATTGGGACTTGCTGGCAGGGGGGAGGAACAAGGGGAGGGATGGGGGGGGTGGGGGG